CACATACACAATGAGCTCCAGGTGTGATCTTTACATGAATTAAATTTAAATAAAGTTCATCAGTCAATGTTAACTTTCAACACTGTATAACATAAAATAATAAATAAAGATATAAAAATATATAACTATCTGGGTGCACACCATGAATAGAACACCATAAATGAGCCAACTTGCTACTCAAATGAGTGGAGGCCTGTGTGTAAAGTTTCACAGGTAAAGGAGAAAACTTTTATGAGCTGTTACTGGTGTCTTGTTTTGATAGGACCACAGCCAACTGCTGACAGCAGAAAAGAGGAGATATTCTTAACTGACACGTTGACCTGGACTCCAACCTCACCAAGCTAAACTAAGCCAAACTCATTTATTCTGTACTTGGTATACTTTGAATTGTGTACTTGTGTGGAAAGACTGTATTGTTATATATCTACTTTTATTTATCCTCAAACAAACACTTAGGGAATTGACTGTGTTTCTGCAACATTCACAGAATAACTGGAGGAAGGGAGCATCTGCTCACCTCTGTTTATTTGCTGCTAAAAGATAACGTCAATGCACAAAGCTGCTCAGTACTTCCTGCAGGAACTTTAATTAGGGGCTTTGATTAAACCCCTAAAAACTTGTCTCTGTGTATGAGAGTTACATTTTCCAAGTTCTTCCCATGAAAATAATCCCTTCCTGCCTTACAATGCCTTCGACATAACTCTGCACCATTTCTTCCTCTAGCATGGGTTGATCTATGACTTCCTGCCTCTGTCTCCACTCACAGCAGTTTGAACACCAGCTCACCTTCGACTCTGCAGGTTTTGGAGACTATCATCAGAAAGGTACAGTGTTAAGGTAGAAATGCTCACCATGGTGTCGACTGCTTATTTCACTTATAATATGTATTCTAGCGTATAAAAAACACCATGTGGATATGTTAATAAGGTATAAAAAAAACTACAAGAGATGTTATTACTAAGTATCATAAAGGAGAGAGAATCAGAAAACAACCTATCCTGTCGTATAAACGGCTCTTGATTTGTGAGTAAAACAGTGAAGCTGAGGCCATGTATAAGTGAGAAAGAGCAGTTTGGATTAACCTCAATTTTCAAACACGTAATGCAGTTGAGTGCAGTTCAGTTTGCCTCCTAGTACGGTACAAGGTTATGCCTTGTTACAGTTGAGCTTGCAATCCCCCCCCTTGATGTAATAAATGGAATCTGTGTTCCTGCAGGTTTTCTGTAAGAAATATTTTTAAAAGGCAGGAGTACCAGTGTAACATAGTCTTGTACAGTGTTACAGAACGCCTCATTTGTAGCCTGGATGTTGACATTCAGTCTGCTTATCGTCAGTTTTTCAGAGACAGAAGTTTCTGAATGCTCTTACAAGTTTTTGCTGCCTTGTAGGACCCTAAATTTATGATGACCAACAAAGTCTTACAACAGGGTCATCCCATTGAGGTCAGTGCCATATGTAGCTGTGCACCATCTGTTGTAGAACGTTGCAGAACCAAACCATTTCCAAACCACTAAAGTAAAACAACGATCTTTCTTCTGTATCATTTCTTTGTTGTCAGCTGCTACAGTCATTATTTAAGTGTGATTGACTGGCACTGTTTGAGAGACAGCAGAGGAAGCACATATTACGACAATCAGGAATTTTTCACATTGTGCAAGAACTCCAAACACAGTAGACAGTTCTACGAAAATGTTTGAAACCTTCAAGAAAACTCCAGACATTATTAACATCAACAGGTAAACACAGCTTTAGAGATAACTGCCCCTTTAAAGACCCTGGTGTTTTGCAGCATATATCAGCAAAACAACAAAAAATGACATTAATTATAGTGCATCATTAAAGGGAAGACAAATGTAACTCACAGTGTGTTGCAACAACCATTCCTTATTGCATGGGTGTTTCTTGTAGGGCTGGACAAAAACATCCGAACATCCGAATAGCCAGGGTGTTGTGGTGGTATCCAGATATCAATTTTGAGATCCGAATATCACAAATAAATGAAACTGTCATTTTTGAGAAGCTGAAACCTGCAAGTATTTGGCATTTTTGCTTGAAAACAAGCAACACCTCATTATGGCGAAGTTCCAGGATGTAGTCCATGCACATCACTGCTTAATATTCCATTTGACTTTCTGAAAAGTGTTACTACAGCAGACTAAACCTGACAGATCATCTCAATGAAACATGCCACTGAGACAATGAGTGACAATAACAACATTAGGACACTGAAACTAAAGCAACAAATGATATTCAGCTATTGTTTATTTTATTATTAATCCTGTGTTGTCCTTACTGTTACATGTCAAATGTCAAACAGCTTATGACACATGTCCGCTGAAGCAAAAACAAAAGCTCCAGTGAAGTGCACTACACCTCCCTGTTACAGCACCTAACTACACTGGATTACAGATTACACATTAAATTCAGTTTTACTTTTCTCCTTCTGTCAGTGGTACCTTGAATCGCTCACTCTCTCTGGAAAGTACCAAAGGTGAGCAAAGTCTACATGTAGCCCTGGTTGAGGACAGTAGCAGATGCATCTCAACAAGTTTAGATGAACCACTGAGGCAGATCTGACCTACATCATGAGGCTATAAGTGAGCACCACTGTTTACTAAAGTCACTACAGTAACCCGCAGTCACTCTGCCAGGCCAAAACCAATCAGTGCAGGCTCCCATGAAACCCTAGCATTAGGCAGAGCTGCAAGCACACGTCAGGGGTCAAATAACCTGCAATTACCAAGGTCTTTGTTTCAGTAAGCAAAGAGCAGAGGGGGAGGGGGCCACATGGTGTATAGGAAATGGGGTGCTACAAAATATATAAGCACCAACTATATCAACAGTGTCAGTCAGAAGGGCCCCAATATAGTTGACAGGGATAAACTGACAGTTTACAAATTAGAAATGTTCTTTTTTTATGTGTGTGTGTGTTTCCTATTTTTCCTTTAGCCAACTCAAAACTAGTGTCCAATTCAAACTGTCTCATAGATCTAGATTGTCCCTTACTTCTTTGGTTTAACCCTCAAACCTACTGTTTTGAAATGCATGTTTTTTGGCACAACTATTCATTTACAAAGTCAATAAAATCATTTATCACACTCAAAAACTGTAAAGACAGGAGAAGTCATCAGATTTTAAGGTTTCCAATAGTCCCTAAACTACACTTCTGTTACATCCCATTCTGTCTGTAAAATTAACCAAATATAAAATAAAAAATCTTGGTATTTTATTAAAATCTCTTCCTTGACTCGTTAAGGAAACATGGTTGTTGTGTCCCAAGAGCACACCGTTACTATGGAAACCTGTCCTTCTTTACATTACTGTATCTACAGACGCAAGTTTCACAGTTCAATAGCTTACTTTACAGAAACATACCTCTCCAGAGTATCTTTTATTTATAATCTCTCCTCACAACTATGCCACTGCACCTGAGCAAATACAGTCAGCAACATATTCAAAAGAAGGTTGGTCAAACAACAAACCTGGCTGCCAGAACAGTGTACTCTTCATAAATTCCTGACCTGTGATTCAGGTCTGAGGTAGACAACAGCCCTGGTCTGCTTTGGGAACTAAGCGAACTAAGCACATTAGCAGATTTCTGAGGAGATTGGAAAACCAGGGTTTTGGCCAGTACCAGGAAATACTTCGGCTTTTTTATGCTTCTCCTAGTAAAAAAAAAAAAAAAAGAGGGGGCAGACAGGAGATGGATGATATGATGTTAGAGGCTGGTGATGATGGCTAGATTTCCAGTTAAAGAATTCTTCAAATGCCTGGAGCAACTTTTAAACAGCAGTCTAATTACCACGCAAACAATAGGGGACACACCAAGCTGTGAGCTGGAAACATTCAGGGGACAAAAGGAAACTAACTACTGAGTCAACCGTGGATTCGTAAGTTGAGCTGAAATATCTCACCAAAGGCCATGAAGAGTTTTGAGGATAAGCTCAAACAGTTTTCTGGACATGATGACTTTAAGCTCATTACTTTGGTTGTTGTGATTACTCCATTTTCAACACTAATGCTGAGACTTTTGTTAACTCTAGTTTTTTTCAGTCTGGATCAGAATATCCCTGTCATCAGCATTTTAGAACTGGCTCTTATGAAAGACTCGCTTTAATCACATCTCACAATTCAAAGTCAATATTGGCTCCAGTTGAACAGTTAAACTACAAGATTAAAAATATTACACAACAACAAACACATCTATTCAGTATACACCTTTAATCAATGAATCAACTATTAAAATGATCATCAAGCATTTTGACAGTTGATTTGAGTGATTATTAAAGGAATATTTTCTGATTAAAGCTTCTTAAATGTGAATCTTATCTGGTTTCTGTCCGAATATCTCAAGATTGTCGACAAAACAAGACCGAACAACTAATGAATTATTTAAGAAATTAATCAGCAGATTAATCGACAATGAAAAAAACCGCTTTAGTATAGATCAAACTCAAGTAATGAATCTAATATTCAGACTTAAGCTTGCATACTGTCCATGGATGTCCTGCACAGTAACCACCAGTAACAACACTGGACTGTAACACAGACGACTGCTCATCAGCGCTGTTCAACTCCATCTGACATCCACAGATTTAAATCATATGACGTTGTTTATGTTGGATTATTTACAACCCGAATTGAAGACTGACTCCTAGAGAGTTGCAAAAAACCTTAAATCACGCCTTGTGCTCTTTGTGACTTCACCAAACAAGACAGCTGTTCTTAAAACGCACTATTTAAGCATAGAATTCGGTTTTCGTGCGGACGGTTCAAACAGTGACGTTGGGCGACAGGTGGTGAGAAGTTGTACAACACGTCCCGCAGGATTCCTCCCACTAAAATGCTGCCTCTCTACCGACGGTGCCAGGGACAATAATGTCTGTCTCAAGCTTTTGTCAAGAGACGAGGCTGTATTTGGCGCCTCAGAAGTGAATTCAAGGCGACAAAAACACAGTTTGCACACAAAGGACGGCTAGCTTAAGTTGAGCGGTACTCACCGACTGCAGAGTGCGTTATTCCAGCCTGGCAGAAAAAAAGTCCACAGCTCCGACCAGTTGCTCACCGTGGAAAACCATTATAGCTCCATGTCCGGGTTAATGTCGGTTGTTAAGAAGTTTTGAGAGTTGTTAAAAAGTTCTTAGGATCTGCTGAGGAAAGCAAGTGGTCAGAAATGGTCGCGTACCGGCTCTCTCCATCGTCCGAAAGTCTCATGAGGAGCTACCGAAGTGAAGCGATGCTGTGAGGAAACAGCGCGACGGGAGAGCGCTCAGCTGCCCTTCAAAATAAAAGACAATTATTATTAGGCCGACACAAACGCATTTTTCAGTGCCTAAACATACTCGATAGCTCACCAAAATTTGCACGGACATCAGGACTGGTGAAAATCGCAATTTTATAGGTGACTTCGGCATGTCGATGCCAAAATGGCTCCACAGCCCCCCTTTGAAAATGTCAATGGAGTCCAATCAGAAGCATGTTTTGTCTAGAGGTAGGTATATAGAGCCTTATTGTGCCATACTATCCTAACAGAGTCCTCGCTTTCAGACTGCAGGTCTACTTGTGGCTCCCACAGTTTCCAGAAGTAGAATGGGAGGCAGTTCCTTCAGTTATCAGCTCCTCTCTGTGGAATCAGGAGGTTCAGGAGGCAGACCCCCTGTCTACTTTTAAGGTTAAGCTTAAAACTTTCCTCTTTGATAAAGCTAGGGCTGCTTAGGATCACCTGAACTGTCCCTTAGTTATGCTGCTATAGCTTTAGACTGCCGGGGGATTCTAATGATGTACTGAGCTCCTCTCCTCTGTCTTCCTTCCATACAGTTAGAACCACCATTACATGTCACTAACTCTGTGTTTCCCCTCAAGGTTCTGTGTTTGTTCTCTCTAAAGACATCTCTGGATCTGGAGCTTCAAGTCCCTGAAAAAAAAAAAAAAGAAACATTCATTAACAATGTAATATATGTAATTTAAATGTTCCCTAGCTGCATGTCACCTTCTGCCTTATCAGGAACTATCTGGGCTGCAGGCCATCTATCATAATGCTAATTGCAGTGACTAAATCCATGCTTTTACTTTGAAGACAAGGCGCCACTACTTCTGCGTGTGTTCTCTTTTGCCTGAGCAGCTTGACTCTGATGCTGCTCCTTCCCCCCCTCAGCCCGCAGAGGAGCAAAAACAAATTCTGCATTAACTTTCACATCACGTGTCCCCACTGAGAAACTGCTACAGGTCCCTGTGCAGAGCTCCTGAGTTTACCTCCAGTTCACTGCAGTGACAACATGCTGAATAAGTTATGACCCAAATAAAGCTGTCATGTCGTTACACGGACAATAACGTGCTTTTTCTGACCACAGTTCGACAAATCAACAATCTTAAATGTGCAACAGACACAGCATTTCTATCACTGTAGTTCCAGGAGGAGAAGGAATAAATACTGATGACATTTTCATTACCGCTGAATTACATGAATTACACAACCAAGTATCACAAGTCATCAGATTTTTTTCTCTATATTTTTTTTTTTGGCATTCAGCATGATTTTCATATTTTGTGCAACACCCATTATTCAGATTTATTTATAAAAGCATCATTTATTATTAGAAATGGAAAGAGGAACAATAGCACCATACTTTACAGGAAAGTTATTTCTGTGGAATGAAAAAGTTCTGTGGAACTTAAAACTGAAAAATTCTATTCAATTCGATGTTATTTATAAAATTCCCAACATATGTCATCTTACAGCGTTTAATACAGTTAGGTACAGACCTTACTCTCCACAGACTTAACAGAGCCCTTCAGATCTGTGTAAAGCTGCAGAGTCAGAAATAATTTAACCAGGCTTTCCTATGAGGCAGCATTATGCACAACAGTAATATCATTGTGGAGCTGCACTTTCTACATTTCGCAATAACTGTTTGAGACATTAGAGAAGGATCTTTGAACAAAAGCTGTTACCAAAAAGAGCTAAATGGTGGTCATACCTGGATTACAGAAGTGAAGCACAAAGGCGATGTGAATAAAATTTTTTGATGTGGAATCCCTTAAAAAAAATGCAAATAAAATAAAAAATGATAATACCCGTCAAACAAATAACCACATGAATGGCAGCGTTTAATGTTTCCCAGCAGGAGACTGTATTATAAAGAGATAATCAATAGTTCACATGTCAGCTGTCATTGGGTGTAATGTTGTTGATCTGTGTACACACACACACACACACACACACACACACACACACACACACACACACACACACAAACAGTTAAAAAAATAAACAAAAAAAACCCCAAATTAAAAGCACAACACATTCTGACATGCAAAATGAAGGCGAGTTATTTTAGATTCTGCTATATTTCTTGGTAAGCAATAAACTGATCAGAGCAGTGACCATGCTGACTCCATCGTACGAAAGCTTAGATTTCCATGACTTTTATCCTTCCATTGAAGGTGCCACTCAGCTTGATTTCATCGACTCATTAGAGGACACTGAACTAAATCAACCTGCATCCATTCTTCACCTGCTAGAGCTATGGCTGTTCCTCAAGTTTCCAGGAAAGCATCGTGCACTAAATGGCATCAGAATACATGAGGTTGTCAGATTGCTATTCTGAACAAAAGGTGGCTTTTTCAGCATCAGATCATGGCTAGACTGAAGGTTTCTAATGGTGCAGTGCATGAAGTCTGAAAACACTCTGTGGAAACTGGATCAATTGATTTTAAAGCAGGATCAGGCTGACCAGAAGTGAGCACATCATCAGAATCTGATCCTGGGTTATTGACTGTGGGCTGCAAGGTGGCGCAGTTGGTAGCACTGTTGCCTCGCAGCAAGAAGGTCGCCAGTTCGCGTCCCAGTGGGGGCACCGGGATCTTTCTGTGTGGAGTTTGCATGTTCTCCCTGTGTCGTGTCGATTCTAACCGGGTTCTCCGGCTTCCTCCCACATGCTGAGGTGATTCTAAATTGTCCGTAGGTGTGAATGTGAGTGTGCTTGGTTGTCTGTCTCAAAGTGTGGCTCTGTGATAGACCGGCGACCTGTCCAGGGTGTCCCCTGCCTTCACCCTAAGGCAGGGGTGTCGAATCCTGGTCCTCGAGGACCGCAATCCTGCATGTTTTAGATGTTTCCCTCTTCCAACACACCTGATTCAAATGACCAGGATCATTATCAGGCTTCTGCAGAGCTTGATGATGAGCTGATCATTTCGACAGGATTCGACACCCCTGCCCTAAGGCCTTGTCCACACGTAGCAGGGTATCTCACAAACCAAAGATATTTTTCTATGATTTGGCCTGTCATCCACACAAAAGCGCAGATTTATGGCATTAAAAATGATTCTCTTTCAAAAACCTCCAACCAAAGTGAAGATTGGCAAATACTCCGTTTATGCGTCTGTATGTGGACATTAATAACCGGGGTTTCAAAATGTCACTACCTGTGACAAAATATGTTCTCTTGTCACATGTTCGACCTGTGTTTACATTTGGAAACCTCAGAACTGTGTTGATGTTGTCTCTTATCTAGGTGCTTTTCGCGGGCTTGTTTTTACAAGCCCAGATACTGCTCCGTGTACACAGGCGAAGGACGATGTTAAGGACGGTTATTTTACAACATCGAGAGATGGAAGCTTACTCTGATTGGATAGGATTTGGGGAACTACTGCCACCTAAAGGTTTGGCATGCTTATGAATATGCTTAACAACACACTTATGCGGTTAGGTGTGGATGATTTTTTTTTCTAAAAACGAGATAGATAATTGATGGATGGATGGATGGAACTGACTGAAAAAAGAATGCAAAACTCCAAGTGATGTCAAAATGAACTTGTCTACCAGTGTGTCAGAGGATAAGTGGAGTCACTTCACAGAAAGAAAACAAGAACAAACACTTGGGCTAAGACATGCATAGCAGTGGATGATACAAAAAAAAAAAACAGTTGTATTTACTGTTACATCCCAGTAAGAGAATAGTGGCAGTAACAGTCGGGTGCATG